AGTGTCTGACAGTTCACACGCTGTTGTGTGGAGATGTAATCAGGATGAATTTCTAAGTTAGCCTGGTGAAATTCTGGGTACCCCTGCATATTATACCCCAGAACTCGATCACCCTTTGTTACAATATCAGTGGACCAGTAGCGGATCAGCAGTTTAACTGCAGATATATTCTATTTTTACATAGAGAGGTCTGAATTAACACAGTATGAGAGAGAAGAAGAACTCATGTTAACGTCATTAACCCTGCAGGTGAGGGAGCTGGAGAATGAGTTGGAGGCTGAGCAGAGGAAGGGCACTGAGTCTGTGAAGGGTGTTCGAAAATATGAGAGACGTATCAAGGAGCTCACTTACCAGGTACCTTCTATTCTTCTGTCAGTTTCCCATTTATACCATCCTGTGCTGACGGCACCTCAGACAGCAGTATATCTGAGGCTGCGTGACCTGTGTGTCACTGTAGTGAATCTGTGTGACCTGTGTCTGACTGTGCTGTATCTCTGTGACCAGTGTGACACTGTATTCAGTTTGTGTGGGCTGATTATACTGTATCTCTGTGACCAGTGTGACACTGTACTGAATCTGTGTGGTCTCTGACTGTGCTGTATCTGTGTGCCCTGTGTGTGACTGTGCTGAATCTGTGTGGTCTCATTATATTGTATCTCTGTGACCAGTGTGACATTGTAGTGAATCTGTGTGGTCTCTGACTGTGCTGTATCTGTGTGTCCTTTGTGTGACTGTGCTGAACCTGTGTGGTCTCTGAGTATACTGTATCTGTGTGAGCTGTGTGTGACTGTACCATATCTGTGTGATCTCTGTATCTGACTGTACTGTATGTTACTATGTTTGTCCTGTGTAACTGTTTCCTCTTTGTGTCTTTTATATGTTATTTTATTGTGCTGGATTGTGAATTTTCTGCCTGTTTTGAATCCCTGTATGTGTGGTGACAGTGCTGTGTGTCCTGAGTAACACTCATCGTGTGTCTGACTGTCAATGTGTCACAGACGGAGGAGGACCGTAAGAATATGGCCCGCCTGCAGGATCTGGTGGACAAACTGCAGCTGAAGGTGAAATCCTACAAGAGAGCTGCTGAGGAGGCTGTAAGTATCTGACAATACCATCCCCACACCGACACACAGGCCTCAGTGTTTCATCCTGAGTCTCAGGGCTGACGCCCAGCTGTGCTGCTGTGTGTCTGTCTGTGTCAGGAGGAGCAGGCCAACACCAACCTGGGCAAGTTCCGCAAGCTGCAGCACGAGCTGGACGAGGCCGAGGAGAGGGCTGACATTGCGGAGTCCCAGGTCAACAAGCTGCGTGCCAAGACCCGTGATGTGGGCTCCAAGGTCAGTGACCCCAGCGCCTGAGAGCTCACCACTGTGCTGATCATTGTCACTTTTAAGACCTGTCTGAGGGAATAATGAGCTGAGATTTGAAGTGAAGTCAAAAGTGAAAAGCAAAAATTGGTTGTGTATTAACTGGGAAACAGAATTGGCCACAAGTATGTTGAAAGGGTTGTCAACTGACAAAAAATAAACACTGAAAATACTTATATACTGTATACAGTAAGAAAAGCTACAATGTGCCATCATCCATTCTAGCTCTCTGATAGTGAGCACTTCATTGATCCCAGACTCTCATCTAGATATTTCTTGAAATACCTCAGGGTACTGGCTTCAACGGCAGGGCTGGGTAGCTTGTTCCACACTCCCACCATCCTGTGTGTAGAGTATGGCCTCCTGTTTTCAGATCTAAATGCACTTCTGTGTGGATTCCACTTGTGCCCTCTGGTTTTGGTTTAAATGTCAGTGGTTTTGCGGATTTTAAATCAGATCCCCTCATAGTCATCTCTGTAAAAGACTAAAAAGGTCCAGATCTCTCAGCCTATCAGTGTAGTATAGTCTCTATATATCCCAGTATCCCACTGATACTTTGGCCTTGTCTTGTACCCCACTGTGGTACACTGCAGTGCTCTGTTAGACACTGCTCTAGCACACTGCTCTGGGCTCTGCTTCCCTGCTCACACTCCTGTTTCACACTGTTTGGTGCCAATGCTGCACTGTGCTCTGTCTCCGTGTTAATGTCTGAAATGTTTACCAATATTTTAGGGCCTTAGCAGAAATTAATTAATAGTCCTTTGGGATAAAACCCTTTCTTTTTCCACTATTATCCCACATTTAACTGACCTATATTGTGTTCTGAGAATGTTGAGAGTTTCGTTCTAATTTTATAATTGTGGCTTTTGATTGAGCTCTAAACTGAGGTGTGGAAATGTTTGTGAAACTTGTGATAAAACCATGTTCTAAACCTTTCTCTTTCTGCCCGTGCTCTGATTCTCCAACTCTCCTTCTCTCCCTGACAGAAAGGGCATGATGAAGAGTGAAGCTCTCAGAAGGACCTTTCTGAAAACCTCTAGTCTGCTGTGCTTTAGTCCCCCTCTGCTTTCTCTCTGCCCTTCCTCTAATTCTGTAGAATAAAACTGGTTTCAAAACGGTCAAGTGTGTTTAAGAACATGTATCTGTGTCATTGTACAGACACCCTAGCACTCTTCTGTAAAAAGTGAAGGTCTTCCCAGCAAGTATGATCACATCACTTTATTGGCCCTGTGCGATCTCTTGCATCAGGAATGTGTCTTTTCACAGACCCCAGCTTGCTCTCCATGAGACACACAGACAGGGGGAGAAGCTGGGGGTCAGAGCGCAGGGTCAGCCATTTATACAGCACCCCTGGAGCAGCTGGGGTTAAGGTCCTCGCTCAGGGGCCAAACAGAGTAGGATTCCTCTGCTGGCCCCAGGATCCGAACCAGCAACCTTCCAGCCACCAAGCCACCCCACTCTCACCATCGCCTGCCTCTTACTACTGTACGTACAGGGACAAGGTGCAAGAATATATGCTGCACCAGAAAAACTGTGCTTGTAAAAAATCTCCAATTTCTAAATTTACAGTACCATCCAGTTAACGTCTGTGAATCATACGTTGTGTGTGAATGTCCCAGGAGCAATTGGATAGTTCATACATGCTTGATGGACTGTGAGCCCTCTGACTGCACTGCGCATGTCAAAGCTGGACTGTCTGTGTTCTGCCAGGGCAGGTCTGTAGTCTGTGAAGGAACAGTAAAATACGTCTGATACAGAATTATCCTCAAAGAGGAGGGTCAGCCTGTCAATACCATTGAAGACAGACAAAAGTTTACAAAGGGTGATCACTCAAACAATTTAGAATATATCTATAGCCTAGAATGATTCAAATTCTTTATGATGTTGTTAGGAAACAGGCGCACAATGGAAAACGGTGTACACTCTGTCAGTATAACAGAGTAAAACTGTATTTTTGATGATGGGGTTTACATGGTGCCTGTAGCAGGTATTGGAGGCAAAACATGTAAAACATAAAACAACTGACCCTTCTAGACCATACCTCCCAACTGTACAGTACTGGGACTTTAGAACGACCCTCCAAATACAGCTACTTCAAATTCATTTAACATTGTAAAAGGGTTCACTGCTGGAACCTGCTTTACTTTTACACTCGGGAACATTGCTGATCAGCACACATGGCTTTGATGGGAAAATACTTGCATTCAAATCTCAGAAACCTAGGAACATGCAATTTATCGGCATCTCATCACATGTGTTTAGATCTTGTCTCAAATTCAGTCTCCATCCACTTTCAGGACATCCACAAATAAGAAATCAGTTAGCTGCTCTACCCTGATTTGTAGTGGCTAGGTATATCCGTTGTTTCAAATACTTCATAAGAAAGGGGTCATCTGTATATTTGGATAATACTGCAGCGTCTCCAAAATCTTTATTTCGATGCCAATCAATAGTGTATTTTGCAAAAAGTCACTGTTTACATTCATTTAAACCCCTTCCGTGGTGAGTCTGTGATTTTATACTTATTTAGTCTTCAGACAGTCTCATGCGTATCAGTTTTCTGTAACTCAATGTTTCTGGGATATGTGCACAAACTAAAATGTGATCCGTAGAGCTGAAACTGTAACACCCCGTGGCAGGGGATAAACACACAGCTCTGAAACCACAGCCACGATCAGGGATGACTTGATCCAGAGCGTTGCTGCCACATTCACAGCCTGGCAGGTAGCTCGAAAGTCGTTTGAGTGGACACACAGCTGAACCACACCCAGTTCACCGAACTGACCAGGACAGAGGCGCTCCGTGTGCTCTTCGTTACACTGCTGCACACACTGCCAGTGTTTTGTAAACTACAAGAGTAAGCGGCTCACAGCAAACATCTCTTGAACAGGAAACCCAGCTTTATCGAAAACACTATCTTCCAAATCCTCAAAAAAAGATATGTTTTCTGAAACGCACTTAGGTCTCAGTTTGGTCTTACACTTCAGCTCGGCCTCAGATGTGCAATTCTCCCGAAGTGTGTGAAGCCCGTGGAGGCGACAGGGCTGGGAGACGGGCACACAAGCACAGTAAGGGCCCCCGTACTGTGTGAATTCGGGGCCCCCCTGCCAGCCCAGAGCGGTGGTATGCACTCCTGCCACACAGGCAAGGAGAGCGGGGAACAGCCCAGTGGACTCCACTGCCCTATCCCCCATTCAACAGCTGGCTTTATCCGTGCAGATCGAGATTACACTGCCGTCCAGGGAGGGCCAAAAATAAAGGCACTTCAAGGGGTGAAGAGAGCATGGCGTGTGTCGCGAAGGATTCGCTACTCACAGGCGCTTACCCGGAGCCTGGAAAAGCTCTTCTTAATGAGCGCATTCCTGACCGCTGGCGGGAAAGAGGTGCTGGCCCCGCGGCTGGTCGGAGAGGCCCTGGATGTGTTCACTGAGTCGGGAGAGGAGACGAGGAGAAGTCCCTCCGTGATCCTGTGATAATCGCACTGCGCTTCCTCTTCCCAGCACACTCCCTCTCTGATCCCCCCCCGTCAGCCCTCCGTCACTCCGGGAAAGAGCGATTTCTACCGTACCTGCGCAGTACTTCCAGATTGCAGATGGGTTACAGTGTTTAGAACGTATATTTTTATGGGTGGCAGGGTGGCGCAGTGGTTAGTGCTACTGCCTTGCAGCACTGGGGCCCTGGGTTTGCATGCTCTCCCTGTGTTTGCATGGGTTTCCTCCCACAGCCCAAAGACATGCTGGTGGGTTCATTGCCCTCTGTCCAGGGGGTACCCTGCTTTGTACTCAGTGGCCCTGCATTGGATAAAGCAGTTAGAAAATGATGAATAAAAAGAATGATGTATGTGATTTTTGTCCTTTTCTGGGTGTGGTATTTCTTGTCTCTGTTTCCGCTCGAAATAAGCAGGAAAAAAAATCAGAATAAGATGAAGATAATAAAATGAGCCACATGCTGTACGTTTCTGACATCAGTGGGGACACAACGGGTTGCATGCTGGTTTTTAGGGATTCTTAGACACTCAGTCGAAATGTCTCAGAGGCCAGGCAGACACGTTCTGCTTTCCCTCTGCCACCTGCACACATCACGTGAAGATCTCGTCTTTGCTCTGTAGGGCGGATCTTTGGTCTTTGCCCTCTGACACCCCGCCTGCACTGTTTCAGGGCATGTTAATGGAAAGGCACGCCCAACATTCAAGATCCGCGGATCTGGAATAGATTTTATTGCCGATGCGTGTCCAGACGCGCTTCACGCCTGTCAAGCCTGCCGACCGCGTGCCCCCGGCGGACACCACCCCCGGTCAGAGGAGGGCCTGTGGCTCACGTGCTCTCGAGGCCTGGGCCTCAGCCTGCTTCTAATACAGGAGCCTGCACCTGTCCTTACTCAGGTCAGCTCAAGAGGCCTTTCAGAGGAAGAGTCATTTGTTGGCTCCATTTCCATTACTACCAATGCAGTGTCACTAATGACCTTGCAGCGGAGCTAGTTTGGATACGGTCACGTCAGCGCCCTCCCTGCGCGTAGCAGGGTCCTCAGCTGCCTGGGCTGGGGGGGGTCTCCTTTAGCTCATGCGGCTGGTTCCCTGTTGCGTTACGCCGGAGACCCGGGTTCGCCCCCCAGGCGTTACAGGACAGAACGGGTGGCGGAGGGAACGAGCCCCCGCGGAACCGCGACGGTCACATTGTCTCACATCCTGTCACTGATCTGCGGTGTCATCTAATCTCCCGTGCACTTACTGTCACGTCCCCACTCGGGGATTGAGCGTGAATTAACACCCAGGCAAAGTCAAGGGTCTCAGCTTCCAGCGGAAACCACATGCGAGCTGGTTTCATCTCTGACCTTTCCCCTCGTCTCTTTGTGGCTCCTGCCCTCGAGCACGCGCGCTGTGTGGAAGGCCCGGCGTTGGAAGTGTGATGCAGCACCGCTGAAGGCGCTGTGCGACTCTCTTGGAATCTGTGCGTTCGACTCTTTGCACATCTAACGTAAACTTCTGTTTGCAGGACTCACCTGCTGCTGCTAATCCACAACGTGAGCTGTCTGCTGGGTCCAGGGAGACGGGAATTTCACAGAGTTATATTTGTCCTGGAGGACAATGCAAAGAAAACAGCAGAGCTGGGGGTAAGGAGGTTGCAGTATGGGAAGGGGGGGCAGATTCTAACAGATGTCACATGACAGCACCATGTGCTTGGAGTGGCTCAAAACTAGTTTGTGTCCTTGTCTCATACTTGCTGTGCTTTACACAGATTCTTAGGTTTCTTGTGACATAAAATCACAACTATGTAACTTGCTTGCTCTTGAAAATAAAACTAGATACCTGTGGGGTACGTGCAGAGGTGTGTGTCTTGTCCAGTCCCAGTGGGACAAGACTGCAGAGGGACGTGCTGATCTGATGCTTTTAGTCAAAGCGAGTTACGTTTGCCCAGCTGGGCTTAAAGACTGAGTGAAGGCCCTTGCCACAGGGCACAACAGAGCACCCCAACTAAGGTATGAGCCCACAGATTAGGGGTTTCCAGTTACCAGTCCAGAACTGCCTCTGTACTGGCAGCAAGCATAGCTGAAACTGTTTGAAGACAAGCCGAGTGTTGTGTGTTTATAATAGGAGTTTGGGAGGGAGGTTACATCCTAATCTTGCACTCTCCCACTCGCCTACATACAGATCTTTACTTCCCTTCATGTAGCTCTCTCACATGAGAGACAGACTGCTCTGTCATGTGGCTAAAAAGAAAAAAAGAACAATTGGAGTATTGGAGTTTTTAGGGGGGTCTTTCATGGGATTTGGGTAGCCTGTCCACACGCCTAGACTGTCATTCCCTCACCTAGGTGAGTTACACTGAATATCTTTTTATCAAGAGACTATCTCGTCCCTCTGCTGCCGTTGTTAGGATCTGAAATAGACCGTGCCTGGAATTCTCTCAGAGAAGACCATTTACCTTGTACCAGATCTGAGGAACAGTAGTGCAGCGCACAGCTGCCGAGAGAGCAATGCATGCTCCAAAAAAAAGAAAGAGGACACTCCAGATTATGGAACTCGCTTTGGTTTGCTGCAAGTGTAAACTGAAATCAGGAAATGAAAGCTTTGCACTGACTATCCTGTGTTTTAAGATTGGTTGTTTTTGCTGCCCTCATTGCCTTACATAACACAACATAATTTATTGGCCCTATACAATTTCTTGCATTAGAAATTCATCTTTTCACAAACCCCAGCTTGCTCTCCATGAGACACACAGACAGGGAGAGAAGCTGGGGGTCAGAGCGCAGGGTCAGCCATTTATACAGCACCCCTGGAGCAGCTGGGGTGAAGGGCCTCGCTCAGGGGCCCAACGGAGTAGGATTCTTCTGCCAGCTGCGGGATTCGAACCTGCAACCTTCCAGTCACAGACGCAGATCCTGAGCCACAGAGCCACCGCTCCGCATTACCATTAGCATTAGCGCTGCGCATTTAACAATTGCCTCATACAGCATCGTCGGCCCTGGTCAAGAGGGGTGATCGGTTAGGGAGCAGGCATGAGCCAAAGCAAGAAACTAAGGCCCATCCTGTCTCCGGTGGCCTGCGCTCTGTCCTTCACTCCATCGCTCTTATTTTCGCTGCCTCCTGCTTCTCACTGAAGGCCGTCCAGCCTGCTCCTTGCCCTCCCCCGGCAGGCATGATATTCCTGCCAACGCCAAGCGTGGAGAAATTCGACTGCGCTGCGCCAGGAGGGAGGGAAGTGATGAAGCCAGTTCAGAGACGGGGTAAAGGCCAGGGGGAAATTTGGCCAGGACGCTGGGGTAACACCCCTACTGTTTTCAAGAAACATCCTGGGATTTTTTAATGACCACAGAAAGTCAGGAGCTCCGTTTTACATCTCATCTGAAGGATGACACTTTTCCATTGCATACTGTTCCTCAAAAGAGCACTTGGAGACCCTGGGCTGTACAGGAAAGCCAGCTGTGACCTGGAGAGGGCCGTCAGACATGCGAAAAAGGACTACAGAGACTACAGAGACAGGCTTGAATCACAATGTGGGGGCATTAACACAGCGTGCCTCTGGAATGTCCTGAGGACTATCGCTAATTATAAAGGACAAATGGGTGTTAAAACAACAGCTGCTGACCAACTAAACAACTTCTATGCGAGGTTTGAAGCTCACAACACGGCCCCTTCACACAAAACGCCCAGTGAGCCTGGGGAGTTTGTGCTGCAGCTGTCTGAACAGGAGGTACGGAGAGCTTTCGGAAAGGTGAAGCCACGCAAGGCCGCCGGCCCTGATGGCCTCCCCTCCTGCGTTTTAAGGGCACGCGGAGCACAGCTGGCCCCCGTCTTCACTGTAATATCTAACATGTCACTATCCCTGTCTACTGTCCCACTGTGTTTCAAGAGAACTACTATGGTGCCACAGCTTAAAGCAACCAAGGTGTCATGTCTGAATGCCTGCCTCACCTCAGTAGTCACGACGTGCCTGAAGAAACTGGTGATGGGACACATCAACAGTATTGTCCCGGACTCCCTGGACCCCCTGCAGTTTGCTTGTAGGAATAATAGGTCAGTGGACGATGCTGTCTCACTGGCCCTTCACACCAGTCTTGACCACCTGGACAAGAGGAGCACCTGTGCCAGAATGTTATTTATTGACGTAGAGCTCAGCCTTCAACACAATTGTGCCAGGTAGGCTGGTGATCAAACAAAAGAGATTATAGTGGACTTCAGGAAGCACTGAGGACGTCACACACCCATCCTCATTCACAGGGCTCCTGTTGAAACTGTCAGCACCCTCAGGTTCCACAGCCTCCAGATCTCGTGAGAGGCTGAGCTGGCCAGAGAACACTGCTGCCATCCTCACTAAAGCCCACCAGCGCCTTCACTTCCTGGAACAGTTAAGGAAGTGGGGGATGAGCACGACAACACTCACCAATTGTTACCGTAATCCGGTTGAGAGTGTCCTGCCCAGTGGTGTTACGGTGTGGTATGGTGGAGCCACAGTACAGGACAGAACAGCCATACAGAGGGTTGTGAGGTCTGCCCAGAAAATCACTGGGACCGAGCTACCCTCCATCGACCAGATAGATCTCGACCGCTGACACATCCGGGCATGATTTATACTTCGGGACCCAATTCACCTGGGGCCACGATCTGTTTTCACCCCTGGGTTCTGGTAGGAGGTATCACAGTATCAGAACACTGACAAATAGATTCAGAAACAGTTTCTTCCCCCAAGCAGCCCGCATCTTAAACAGCTCATATTAGCACCTGCACTTTAAGGTACTGCACTGTTTGCACTGTCCTGTCTTGGCTGTATTATAATGTCTATTGGCTACATTTATTGTCCATGTCTGTTTGTCATTTGAGCCTATTTTTTTTTCTCTACTGTTACTGGCTACAGCTCAACGAGTAAGCATTCCAATACACAATGTATATGGCAAATAAAGAAATCTTATGTCTCTATTATCCAAGTGCCAAGATTCATCATCACAGCCAGGAAGATCTATATATTTTTTGTAGCGGGGCTACATTGACATGGTATTAAACAGTCGACACAGGTAAGTTCATTTGAGACGATTAATATTTGTCATGAACAAAGGTGATGACGATGGCAGCGAGTGAGGCCCCAGCACTTGATCCCTATAGTGTCATGCAGTCCGGGTGGCATTAGTCACTACGAGTGATCTGCGGCGTCTAGACACACCGTCTTGTGCTGCCTCATCTTTATCCCTGTCCAGCTCTAAGAAGCCTAGTACAGATCACACAGGCCTTTCTGCTCTCTGTGGTAGTGGAATTAAGAGACTGCAGCCTGAAAGCAAAGCCTGGATCAGGACCAGATGCCATTCAAGAGCACTCTTCTAAGCAGGACAAGCACTGGTTTTTCTTCCACACAGTCCTCCCACCCTCATGAATGTTGAAAAAACAGTATATTGAGACAGCAGACATTTACTCGAGATTTTCCCTGAGCAGTATAGCATAGCATTGTTACACGAGAGCAGGTTATCAAAGAGAGTGGGGCTTCCCATCAGACCCTCCCGCCCCTTCTGGAAAGGAAGACCAGGGGGCGTCCTCGAACGCGTTGACTCGCTCTTAGCTGATCCGCTTGACTGGGGCAGGGGCTCGGAAGGGCCCTGTCACCTTTAACTCAGACTAAAGCAATCGCTCTCAAACCACAAAACCAGATTTCTTAAAACGTCGACAGAGGAGATGGGATAAAAAAAACACACAAACGGGAGAGGAGTGAAGGCAGGAGGAGAGAGGAGTGAGAAGCGCAAGAGAACAACTCCGTCCACAAACCGGGAAACCCGAGTCCATTCAGGTAATCCGAGCACAAAAAAGACTGGACTCCAGGCCTCAAGTAACACTTTTTCGTAAAAAAAAAACCTGATTTCCTGTCTGCAGTATCCAGTCTTTTAGCTAAAAGACAAACCTCTCACTTTGTAGCGGTGCGTCGTGTTGGATAGGCAGTCTCCATTTTCTTGAGGATGTTTCAGAGGACCTCTTCCCTCCTGCCCCTTTACTGCCACCTGTCGCCGTCGCCAGCTGTAGTGCAGTTTGCTCCGGTCCTCACAGATGTGTACATAATAACAGTGAGCACTGTGGTGTAGTTGTAGCCTATTGTACATGTGCTTTCTGAGGTTTGCACCCTACTTATGACTCCATTGCCATGCTGTGCTGGAGAAATGAAGAAAACGGGCTGATTGAGAGCGTTCCCCGAAGACAGGGGCTGCGTTAAGCGTGAACTTTTATTGCATGGGAAGCTAGTGCTTGTATCCAGTACTCGACAGTTCTCCTGCCTAGTTGAAAAAGAAGATGCAGCTCGTCTATTAGAAGGAATAGAATAATCCTGCGCTATAAAACGACAGCAATTATTACTATAAGGAGGTTGGCCTGTTCACTACACACAACCGAGGCCGGGAGCTTCTCCGTGTTTACTGCCCAGCATGCAGCGTACATCAGAGTGCGGAACACCCGCACGCGTCGATAAATTACAGCTGGAGCCACAGA